GCTAGAAGAACGAGGTGCGCGAGAACGCTGGGACCCTTTTTCTACCTGGATCCCTGCTTTTTTCACTCTCATGTCCCTCCATTGTCGCACAAATTTGCCCCCACTTCCTCACTGCCTTGGCCGTATCTAGACCCACAGGTAGATTGTTATTGTCCCTCTTGCGTTGTGGTGTGGAATAACATAGCGTTGAACCACACTTCAAAATAGGGCATAAATCAAAAATATCTGCAACAAGCTCACTGCGACTGGAGGATATCCAGCCCTTTAATATGAGGGATTGCCTACGAGTCAATGAGTGCAATCAACTGGTTTTCCTTAGATAGAAAACTTTGAATCAATGTGACTGGATTATCTGGTGAACTGTAAAGTGCCTTGAGATGACGTGTGTTGTGAATTGGCACTATAGAAATACACTGAATTGAATTAAAGTGAAGAACATCTACCAGCTGCACAGATAAACCCAACTATGCTGAAGATCAACAGGAGGGAAGTCAAATAGAACCACAAAGTCTTTCCCCTAGAACTATAGAAGAACCAGCTCCTGGTTGCAGAGCATGTTCACTAACAGTAAGGGTTAAGGTTTGGGTCAAAAGGTTTGGTATTTATTCTACGATGCTCATAAACATCCTGACTCACATTACCTCTGCTCTTTTATTTTAGAACAAAAATTATTTTCACTTTAATGGCTGAAATAAATGCTGCAGCCGGAACTTTAAGGGGCTCAGCAGCGGTACCTGTGGGACTCCCAGCCAGTCGTCTGCCTGCTGCATGGCCTCCCGGGCGTTCTCCACCGGCTGACTGGGATCCCAGGTTTCCCAGTCTGGACAGAGACCTGGAGGCAGAAACACAGACATAGGACAACAGCTTCACGTTCCGCTCTGAGGTGGTCTGTTCCTGAGAAAAAACATCAACATCTGTGTTCTTGGTGGTCCAGAGGTCCTACCAGGGGCGCAGTTATCCACCAGTGCTCCCAGTGCTTTTCCATCCCTCCAGTCTCGGTGGAAGTTGGTGATGGGCAGCTGGGGAACCTTGTTCTGGATCCAGCCCAGCAGGCGCTGTTTGGGGGTCAATTTCTTGGCATCTTCATCATCCTCATCCTCCCACATGGGCATGGAGATGGAGTAGTGAAGGATCAGGGTCCAGATCAGACCCAGGATCAGCTTCAGGTTCCCGTCCACGATGGCCTTGGAGTCTAGAGGACAGCAGGGGGGATTTACCATTAGGCAATACTAGGCAGTTGCCTAGGGCCCCAAGTTCCTGGGGGCCCCATAAAACTCTGTTTACATCTACAGTTAATACAACTATTACTTATTTGTGCACATTATGTTTTTGATAAAAATCCTTTTGCTAAAATACCATCAGAACAATTATAATATGTGTGTCTCAGACCCCCCTTCAGTGTCCACCATATTGGATCAGTCCATTTCCTGCACATGTTCAGAAAGGTCCAAACAGACAGCAGCAAACCATTTGAAAACAAACGCGTTGCCAACTTAGCGCTTTAGTCGCTATATTTAGCCACTTTTCAGACCCTTCTAGCTCTATTGTTTCAAAAAAGCGCCAAATCTAGTGACTTTTTTCTGCTACTGGAGACTTTGGCGACAACATCTAAAAGCAGCGAACTCTGCTCTCCAGAGCAAGTAGATTGGTAACCCCGCCTCCTGCTCTCCTCTATCTTGTCTGCTGTCATGATTCATGCAGCTATTATTTCATCCAAATGAAAAATGGAGAACAGATAACCAGATCATGGCTCGTCTACAGTGAAAAGAAGAATTGGGTTATTTATTTTTTGGAAACNCCAACCCGTTACTAGCATGGGGTACCTAATAAAGTGGCCGGTGAGTGTGTGTGGGAGGGCAGCAGAGCTGACAGCTGAAGGGCCACTCTCAGAGTTCGGTCCCTCCAGATTGTCGTAATGACTCTTCCCCTAAACAGCCATTTGAGGAAATCTTTGTAGCTCAGCTCAGCCTGTCTCTGCTCCTCTGATCAGAAACACACACAGCGAGCTTAAAAACAACTTTGGTTGTTTTTAAGTGGCTCTCTACTTCCATTTCTGTAAGAATAACACACTTAATACCTAAATGTATTCTGGTTGCTGATTGAGTGCCTGTGTAGTTTGATATTCTAGCAGGGTAAATCGCTCCAGTGGGTATTTGTAGGGGAATAAAATAAAAATCCTGCTGCATGGAAATGTTCAACCACGATGAACAACTAGTGATGGGCATAGATTATTTAGCCTAACCCTAACTAGGGCTGGGTATTGCCAAAGAATTCACGATTCGATTCCAATCATGATTCACATGCCATGATGCGATTCTATCACGATGCATAGCGTATTTGAAATATTGCGATGCATCGCGATATTTTCATTGAACACTATAAGAAAAAAATACAGCTATTACGAGTGGCTGACTGGCTGGGTATGATCTGGATAGTGTCTTCAATTGATACATAACTGAAAGCAACTGAATTCATACATAGCTGTATTTACTGAAACGAATTTGGAGGTGTTGTCATGAAAACAAATACTGGATAGAAATATTACTATTACTGGCGTGGACACACTGACAAAAAGTGCTTAGGGTTTCTAAAACTTAAAATACAGTACTGTTAACATGGCCTCAGTGGTCCTTTATACCAATGAAATGGAAACATTCAAATGTTTGACATTTCCCCTTTCGCAAATGACGTGCGTCAAATCAATTTCGTTTTGAACTTCTTTGTTTTTAAAGCCAAAATGCATCCAAACATCTGACTTGGAATGTGATGGAGCTGGGCAAATTTTCTCAGTCTCCA